CTGCATCACTTTAGTTAAAAGGGGAAAATGTTCTAAAAAGCTGGAATTTGGACTCTAGATCAGTAAGCAATTGAGGTTTGTAGTTTACTTCTTTTCAGTCTCTTTTTATTTTTCATCTCTCTCAAGACTTCTGATTTTTAAGGTGTGTGTGTGTACACATGGAGGAATGGAAACAGCATGTTTACTTTATCTGTTGCACAATTAATGATACAAATTTATGTTCAGATGAAACAAGATCTAATAAATGTAAATAATACTTTTTTCCTTTATGTTACTACCATCTTTACCTAACATTCATTTTGATTGATCTCCACATAAAAAAAAGCCTTTTTAATTTTTTTTACCACCATCTATGTCTATTGTTATCTGTATCAGTGCATTTTAATGACTGTCTCCTAGCTCTCAAGATGTTTAATACGTTTCCCCTTCCATTGTATTGCAGCTAAAATATGACCTGCCGCTGTTTAAATAATGTAATTTAATGATTTCACATTTTCAGCCATGCAAGGCTTCCTTTCAGCACTGAAGCCTTTCACTAATGATTTGGGGAGATAGTTTGTTCTCATTACTTTCAGAACTCAAGATTGAGAAACTCTGACTTGGAAATAAATTATTGACATCCACTTCAGGAACGGTACATTGTGTAGTGGAAGTAAAATACACAAAGTTTCAGTGCCATGAGGCTAGAGTCTCCAACTTGTTGATTTATTTCAAGGTTCAAGTGTCATTCAAGCTCTGTAGCAGTGGAGATATCCAAAATACCATTGTGCCATTGCTATGTGATGTACCATATTTAGGCCAACCCTTTGCAGACTCCTGAATTGTTATTCATCACAAGTGACCAGCATTGAGCTGGAAGGCAACACCATGCTAGTTTCTTCTCATTTCAAACATGTATACTATACTAAAAGGATACTTAAAATACATTAACTTTGTAGATAAAACTGCTTTGGATGTCATGGAAAAGTGAACAAAATGAGAGGACAGCCTTTAGCATCTCCCCAGCACTGGAATACCTTCCCATTTCTCAGTGATTCCAACACAGAATCATCAGGGCTAAAAAATATATTAAGAAAACAAGACAGAACAACCTCAGCCCCCCAAAAAGGTATCTTTCTGTACACATATACAGAAATATTACAAGTTGAATGTTGCTGAACACCAGTTTGGATGCTAAGAGGCAAGCTGGCAGAGTGTTTTCTGCATTAAGTCAATAAGGATAGGCCAAGAAGTAATGGACTAAAAGCAACAGAAAGGCAACACATTGTCTTGTAGGGTACCTGCCTCACTTACTCCCTTCTCACAACCTCACCATTGCTATTGTCACACCTTCAAAATTTTTGCTGGTTAAGAAAGCACATCTATGTTCCAGCTGTAATTCTAAGAAACGGTATGGGGAAAACAGGTGTGTAAATTTCATGGGACAACAGCTTTCTTGGATGGTTTTTAAACTCTTATCTTCAGTGCTTTTAGTGGATTACAGTAAAAAGTTATGGTTGTTGATTTTATTGTTTTCTTCAAAGAACTGTTGGTGGAAAGCCAAAGCTCCACAGGTCAATTTGTGTTATGTTCAGGGATTTCTGTTTACTCTAAAGCAGATGGCTCTATTCTGCCACCAACCCTGTGGCATTTCAGTAAATTGTATTCTTTGCATATTCCTTGTGCATGTGAAATTTGTTTAATGGGAGACAGGGAAAACATGTAAGTTTCATAGCAAGAATTTACACATTCACCTTCCTTCTGTTCACACACATTTGACTTATTTGCTCAGGGAACAGGTATGGTATAGCAGCGTGTGGCAAATGACATAATGTAACAAACAGAAAATAATCAAGTATGTGTCAAGAAAAGTAGTTTTGAAAGAGGCTTAGCTAAACCTCTTTTCACTTACAGCAACAAAATTCCTATTGACTTAGTGGTGGATCAGGACCACATAGCAACTGAACAATTTAACACAAATATATTTGAAGAAAATAATCTTACTTGTAAGTAACTGACAATTGAAGAATAGGTAATTTCACTGAATAAGTTATACTGTGCAATTTCCATATCATTAATCGCTCTATTTTACCAATGTCTTGAATTTTTTAAAAAAACTCGTTCTCTCATTGTAAATACTTAACATACCTCTTCTATGATTCCTATCACTGAATGCTCTTTTCTTTTTCCAGAAGCAAGGGTTTTCAGTATTTTATCCAGTCACCCTAAGGTCTCATACTTACCACCCTGAACCAGACCTGAAAGTCTCTGAGAAGAAGATCAGTTAAACATGTTTATGTGGATCACACACATTTAGTCCCTTCATCAATGTTTAGTATGAATTAAAGTACTCTGTTAGATCAGAACTTATCAGTTACTCAAGAAGTCTTCAGAGTGTCTTTAGAGTTATCTAGCTGGGGTAGTTCGTGATGAAGAGGTTTAGAAGTTTACTGATAAGAGAAGAAAAAGAAGACAGGAGAAGACCCAGCTCACAGGAGCTGTGGAGATCTATGCTTGACTGCACTGGAAATTCAGGGACAGCAGACATGACAATAACAGGAGTAGTAAGACAGGTTAGAAAACAGCATGAAAACATGTCCCCCAGTTGTCTAGGTCGACCATGCCACAGAGAGGTTTAAGAGAGATAGATGGAAGTTTATGAATATAGTCTGATTTGCCCAAAGGGCAGGAATTACCAAAACTGTGCCGAAGCATGGGCTTCTATAAAAGTGCTGACTACAAAACAGAAGATACATTCTATGATTATCTTTCAAATAACCACAAAAAATAGGCACCAGAAGTCAGTCAAGTTCAATGGAAGTGATGATATCTCACAGCTAAAGATGTCCTCTAAAACACAGCACTCTCTCACCTGACTCCTACCTTCATTCATGCGTGCATTGGGTAGCAGGCTCTATAGAAAGCAACAGAAGTTTTAAGATTCAGGGCTCTTAAGAGCCATCTTGACCAAGTTACTTCATTTTCTTGTGCATCAGTTTCACTTCCAAATAATAAGAGCAGTGGCACTTGCTTAGAGGATCAGGAGGGAAGGGTAGAAAAGATGACAAACAGCAACACAACTAACAGAATTTGTAGCTCCTCTTCCTTTCATCTGATGCCCCAGCAAGTCCCTGTTTTAACCCATGCTTCCATCTACCAGTAAAGATTATAGAGGAAACCTTTTCATCTGGTAAGGTCATTGCTTGCAAAATTTATTTTGCAGAGCTACACCTTTTAGCTAGCAATTAGACACCCATGGCTAAACTAAAGAGCAAAGGTTGCCTAGCTTAATCCTTACTCTCCAGCTTTGCCACATGGGGTGATTACATGACGTAAGAACTGCACAAGCTTATGTTTATTTATAATACTACATACCCAGCAACTATAACCTGGAGCGCTCCAGAGTGGAAGGATACATTTTTATAATGCCTGTTTCTTCATTAAGATTTCATCATCCACCTACGCTAAAAAGCCACTTCCCCTTCACTTTGTTATATCTGCTTTTACTCGCTCCTGTTCCACATTATTTTTTTAATCTCCAGTTCCCTACTTTACATGTACTCTCAAATTTTAAACAAGCAAAATTTGTGCATTAGTGTGTCCTTTTCATCTATGATTTATGAATGACAGGTTCTTCGGTGCAGCTTAATGGTATGAGAGAGACATTATTTTAAACATTAAAGTGAAAACCATTTACAACTATGATAAGAGAGGTCTGTTGACATTAAACTTTAAAACATGCACAAGGTAAAGGCAAGTAGCTGCTCCAACAGGTGAGAGTACTATGCATGCAGTTTGTAAGGGAGTTTGTTCAACACATGAGCTGTCTCTTCCTTTTCTCTGTTTCACAGCCTGTAGGATTTAGTGCTTCAAACAATTCATCTGGTTATCAGCAGCCACCAGAGTTTAATAACTAAAAAGTACTTAAGGTGCAATGCAGAGCATTCATTTTAAAAAATTACCATTCTGTTTAAGGAAAAGTTTTCCTACCATTTCCATCAGCAAGAAAAAAAAATAAATAAATTGGAAGAGCTAAAGCTTTATTTTGATACTTCCTGCTCACACTTTTATCACTTTCACACTAGACAATCACTTCCTTATGACCCTCTTCCATTAAAGCTGTACAACTCTATTTAAGATATTAGCTAATACTTATTTTGCTATACTTGGTTCAGTTCTTTCAGCAGCAACTGCTTTCTGAGAAGCAATCAACATAATTAGGAGTAGTAAATAAATACATCTGTATTTTACATCACATGTGTTTGGACTGAGTACCATTTCTAACTGTTACACACACTAACAAAGAATACTAAGGAAGAACAGGTATCTTACAGAAATGTTTTTCAGTCTGATTTTAGAGCACAGGGAGAATGCAGCAGGTATCTTAGAGTAGAACTATTGCAAACATGGTACAGCTCAGACAATGAGGAGGATACGTACAGAGATGAACTTTTTGCTTGTGACTTTGGAATCACGTAACTCCCTCAACAGCCTGGATGAGGATGGCCGAACTTTATTGATAAAAGCAGACCTCCCACAGCAAGAACAAGAACGCATATTTGGGGCACTGATGACAGCTGACAAAACTCTGATTTTATAATAAAAGATTTTTTTAAAAAGTGATTTTCATGCAATACTGTGCTTTTAGTTGCCTCTCTTCATTTAGCTACCCTAAACAGCAGTGGTGAAACAGAATACTTGTCTTCATGCTGCCATTTGAAATTTTAAAGTGAACTCTGAGTAGGGAACATTGATCACTGATGACAGAAAAGCCTAATGAATCATTCAAGTACTTTACATTACTGACCCACAGAATCGAAGACCCAACCTCCAATATGTTTTTATAAAAATGCAAATATCCCTTAAACCTCTCTCAAGTATTCAAAAAATCATCCAAATATTAACTTTCAATACACATCAAGAGCAACATTTCACTGCAAAAAAGATCACTCGGTTTAAAAGAGAGAGGTAAAGTGAAACAAGCAAAAGAACCTATCAGAAAAATACTAAACATGACTTACCTTGTAGATTTTGCAATGGCAAAGTCATGATGCCTCCTGCTGCAGCTGCTGCTACCAGCCCTTGGATGTTGGTGAGATTTGCTGTAGGTAGAGTTAGGACAAGTCCTTGTTGGCCACCCAGCTGCCCAGCCATGTTGAAAGGAATAAGGATCGGCTGATTCAGGGCTGGAGTGCCTCCTGGCATCACCCCCGCTACTGCTGAGGCTAACTGTTGGGCTGTCAGTAATGGCTGTAACAAAACACAGACAGCAAGCCTATTTCACTGTACATAGCTCAGTATTACACACTTACAACTCTTCTTGCTTTGGATCCTTTCATGTTGCGTTATAGACATGCACTGCTTCCAATATCTTAAAGCATACATTTTCACCAACACAGAAAATTTTCACAAACTGAAACAGGCTGAAACTGAAATTTTCACAAACTGAAACTTCACAGGCTGAAGCTGTATGCCTTATGGTCATGTAGCATGGTAACAATCCCAGTTGAATCTAGACTGGAAAATTCATTACACATGCACCGAAGATAATTTATGAACACAAGAGGGCCTAACTCAAGACTACAAGCACCTAAATGCTAACATTTCCCAAATTTTCCCAGTGGTATACTGATTAGTAAAAGCAGAAAACACTACAGTAACAATTACTAGAAGCTATGTGGACCAAGACTGTCCTGGGAAGTGGAAGAACCTTGAGTACCTTGTTAGAGTATGGCTGAACTTGGATAAAATTGTGAACTGATAAGGGAGATGGTTTATAATGTTATACAGTGCCATACTATTATGCCTACATTTTGCTCTAAAGAAAATAAATACCTGGCATAAAAGATAATGAAATGCCTTTACTAATGCAGGAGTTGTGTGTGACAGGCAGAACTGTCAGAGCCAATAAGGCTGCATTAGAATTGCAGAAGCTTAAATATTAAATTATGACATGTATTTCAAACATAACTTACACAAGAAATTCCAATAATTTAACCTCCTAAATATGCAAAACTGCTTAGATTTTAGAAAAGCATACAAAAAGCTAATCTTTCCAAACAAGTAACTTCCAAAACATACATGACACATACATGCTCCCTTTTTGTAACACTAAATGCAGCCAAACAGAATCACATTTTCTACATTACACAGATCAAAGATGATCAATCGGTTATTTACTTTTCATCAAACAGCACATCTCAATTAGTCAAAAGGAAAGATACTGACCTGAGGCCCAACAGGGAATGCAGGATGGGTCTGACTGGGTTGGTGCTGGTCTGCTGGGCTCGTGTCAGGCAGTACTGTGTTTCCTCTGGCCTCTGAAATCCAAAGAGCAGATTGACTTTAGTATCAAGCCTGGGGACTGCCACATTACCTTCTACTCTGATGTCACATAACATCAAGCTGAAAATGATATGTTAAAGTGCTTTATCAATAACTCAAGCACTCAAATCACTTATCAGCTGCATAAATTATGCTAACATTCATTCAGACCAGCCAGCTCATTCAAGGAGCTACAAAAATCTGACAGCAGTGAAACTGAAGCTATCATCAACCCAGCTAATGGGGATTGCATTATACATCAATTTACATACAGTACATGAGCACTCTGCGTGTGTGGGAACTGCATTTTTTACGCTTAGGTGAGTATCAGCCATTCTAATTTCTGAAAGCAAAAATTATCTGAAAAACAATCAAGTCACATCTACTTTGTATCTTAATAAAGTATTTTCTTTTGTCGGTTACTGAGGCAGCAAAGGCTGCACTATGTGCAATAAAAAGGCACTATGAAAACTGAGAACAGGTATGCTTCCAAATGACAGCTTGTTTTCTAAATTGGGGGGGGGGGCAGGACACGGACGAGCAAAATTCTGTGAAATTAAGGATTTCCAGCATTTATTGAGATGATCAATATCCAACAATTGAACTATATGCTTGGCACTAATGACTCAGACACAGAACACAGTCCAGCCCTACTGGATTTTGCTGAAGTCCACAACACAGACTTGAAAAGGAAAAAGGAAAAACTTCCTATCAGCTGTAAGAAAGTACCAACATGTTTTCAAAACTACGTCCCAATCCTCCATTTCCTCCATGTGAAGGACTCACATCGATTCACAAAGTTTTTTAGTGCTGATGACACGATCAAGCCCACATCTATCTTCGAAGCTGAAAGAATGACAGCAAGTATCAAAAGTAGCTGCAAGAGTACTGTGGCCTCTTAAAAAGAAAACACTAGCAACAGCATCAGGTTTCCTGGTTGGTAGATAGCTCCCATTTTGTTAGTTTTTTCTGATGAGCAGTTTAAATTCCATTCTAAGTAAACCTTAATGAGATGCTCTTTTCCAATGTTTGTCCTATGAATAGCAAGTGCAAGGTAATTCAGAACCAGTTTATTGGCACACCTTGGCGTGGTAAGGAAAAAGGATATGATTCTGTCATACTTATAAATTTTAAAGAGAATATTATCAGCTCATTTAAAACGAATTCTTCTATATATTCTCCAAGGGGACAGACTTATAAATAATGGAGATGTGGAAAAAAAAAAAATACTTCAGCACATTAAGGTACAAATAAAATTGACTGCTACATATTATTCAATTGACTTCTATCTCTATAGCAAGGTGTCAATCATAACAGCATTTTAGAATAGGATTAAACAATAAATGTGCAGAGTTATTATGCAGAAATCTGAAAAATCTGATTAATTTGTAATATTTGTGTTTGGTCTCAAAAAATCAGAAATGGACATTGCTTTGTGAATACTTACAAAGAGTCTATTGAAATATCTGATTTGGAACGAATAAAAACATACAGACTTGCTGACATTTTATGAAAGTGAATTCTATAAAACTATGTTTGGCATTTTAGTGACCACTGTCATTTAATAATGAGAATAAGTTGACCTACTATAATCGGTGAGGACTCCAACTATTGCCTAATAACATGCAAAAAGAAACCCTGCCACTGAATTTTTCATGTGCAATTTACTCGTCCAAGTTACCTGAAAAGAAAGAAATATAACTAGATACGTGAGATTCAATAAAAACTCTTTCTTTCAAACACATTACAAACCTAGTGCTGCTGCCATCCTTAAGACCAAAGATACGTTTTCTTCAGTATGAGTTCCTCCTATACAAAATAAAGTGCTATGTTACTAAACACAATTTTACTTTTGGTAATTTCCATGTATTGTTACGGGGCTTTTTTAATCTTCTCATCACAGCTGTACGTATCAAGTGATATTAGATCAAAGGCTCAATACCAATGAATGTATCACTCCCCATTAAGATCAAATCTTGTAAGTCAATTTTGTTTATGTAATGTTAAGGGCTGAGAATTTTCTCTTTGTGTGTGATTTAATTAATATTAAAACAAGCTCCTGATAATCTGTCACATCATTAAATTGTCCTATGAAAGCTTTGGGAGAACAAAACTAGAGTCAAATACTCACTAGAATTAGATTTTATTGCAATTACTACAGCTTGAGCTCTCAGAAATATATAAGAAGTTCTGAAGAAATATGCCTGTGCTTTAGTATTATTTTTTTCCACAGTGAAGCTATCCTAAGAACCACTGTTTTCTGTTATCTGTACCCTAAGGATTTCGCAATATTTCATCTCACAAGCTGTATGTAGTACAAGTGCGTTATACAGAACCATAAAGCCAAAATTAATTACATTCCTTTCCTTTTGCATTGCACTAATTGGAATCACTTAGGACTACATTCCTTTTGTGAGGTCACTCATCGCAGATGATGTATTTTTTTTATTTCAGTGCTCAAATACCCTGCCTGCTGCTTCTAGCTCACTTTCCATATGATGCAGGCATCTCAGCAAAACAGCACACACTTTCACGTGCATGAATTTGGCCTTGCACCCTATATGAAATTATGCACTCCGTATTCTCGCATAGAAATTCTCACATTTCCTCTCGTGCCCCTTCTAATCTACCTGCTGCTGTAACAGCTACTCAAGAGTCAAGATTTTTTTCAAAACGCACAGGAAAACCTGCCCCCTGGGCTGGCAGTAAGTAGAGCAAAGTGAGGATTTCAGGGTTAAGTTCTGTTGCATCACACACAGTGACAGCATTTGTTCCTTGCTGTATGCTGTCCAACGAGACACATAGGTCAAAGCTCCCAGGAAGGCAAAGCAGAGCACAAAACACTGGTAGAAGGCTACTCTTCTGTCTTATAATGTTGACTGGGAGGATTCCTTCGATTTCAGAGGATCTGAGGAGTTGGGAAAGCTCTATGTGACAGCTACTGTTTCTGATTCAGACTCATTGCTACTAATTTGAAAATACCTTCATTAAGACCATTGCCCTAAACTGGCAGTGCACAATCCCCTGCATTGTTTTTCCCCTCTGTTTTACCACCTTTGAGAGTTCATTAGTTCCATATGCTGGAATGACCTCTACAGGTAACTTATTCCCCTGTCCAAATTCCAGTCCTCAGTAATAAAAATGGCCTGTCAAAAATCTAGCCTAGATTTTCCACTTGTCCAGATCTAGGCCATTACCTCCTGTTAGGCTACCCATCAGCACTGCTCAGCTTTCTATCAGCAAGGGGTACGGTGGCAAGGAACCAGAAGTCATAGCAGCCCCTATGGAGCTGGGGAGCTACACCAGCACCTTCTCTGCTCTCAATTACGCTTTGGAAAGATTGTACTCTCGTTACAACTCCGATTGCTAATGCACAAGGGGCAGGGAGAAGGAAGTAACAGGGCACCTACTCTGGAAAAAGAAGTAATTCTCCCTAACACCATTTGACTAGACAGGAAGCTAAGACTTCTCTTACAAGTGAGCGCTGCCATCACAGCCTAAGTCAGTGAGTTTGCTCAGTAGTACCATATGAACAGACAGGAGTGCTACTGCCATGGTATGGCCATGACTGTAGACAAGGCTTTAATATTTAATAAGCAGTATTCATCATATGTGATTCATCATAAATTAATTATAAATTATATAATACATACACTCACCTCTCATCCCACCAAGGGGCTGGAAGGGCATGACACAATAAAAAAAAAAAATTGAAGTGCACTGTAAACATTGTAAAATAACCCTCTTAAAATAAAATACTGTTTAAAATAAAGCTAAGTAAAACAAAGGCAACCTTCTTCCCTCCTTAACAAAAAGAAGAGGGAAAAAAAAAATCCCCCAAACCAAGCGAAAAACCTTGTTGAACAATACCTGGTTTAAAAATGAGAAAACCACAAGAGAAACATCAGAAGGAAAAAAAATTCCACACCCCAAAGCCTCCGAGCCTCATACAAAATTACAACTGTAAGCACACTAGTTATAAACAGGCTTTCCACAGTTTGCTTCCTTTTTGTTTCTCACACATCTTCAGCAACACAACAGGTAATTCAGTTCTAAATGTCTTTATCTCCCAGTGTCCCATGAGGAGGGAACGCTCTAATCCCCACTTTATAAATGAGCAACTAATAGACAGAGGGACTCTGATCCGGATTCTCAAATCAGCACCATTTAGGCCCCTAGACCTCCACAGCTGTAGTTACACTGTTTAGGAAAGCATAGGTGAAAAAACAAAATGGCTCAGTGACTCCTTGGCTGCTCCAGGGCTACCTGCAGCTCTGGCAAGGTGAACCTGCAGGTGTGTCCCAGCACCCTGCATTCAGATGCCCTGCCCATCCCAGCAGCCCTCGCCACCCGTGATGTCCAACGCTTGCAGGGAACCTGCAGCTGACTGGCACATGTGGCTATACTGAAAAGCATTACAGGATATATGATGGAGCGCATTAAACATGCGGATCCAGCTCGGTCCTGGACCTCCTGGTTCCTCTGCAGATGGGTGCTCGTGCCTGCTCGCAGGCATGATACTCACTGGCGTCTCCTCTCAAACTCTGCACCAAACCTCACTCAGAGCCAATGCTCAAACCACAGCATAGGACTAACCTCAGCAGATGATCTGGACATAAATAACTTCCTCAGAATTCATTCACACAAGAATGAATTCAATGGGTCTCACATTTGTATCAGAACCAGGGAGATGCTGGGCCACCTCTCTTCAGTACTCAATGCTTTGAAAAACAATCAGGATCAAATTTAATAATACTAGATTTTTCAGTAATCAAAAGAATAGGTAAATCCTTCTGAGTCGCCCATTTAAGCAAATATTTTAAATGAATCAACATTAATAAAAGAACACAGCATTTTAAGCAACAGTTCATATTAAAATCCTTAGATACAGTTCCACAATGTGACATTAAATTACTTGTATTTATCTCTCAGTAACTGTAACAATAAGAAATCAGGAGTAGACTGTTTTCTTACTGGTTGAGCCAACTCACATTAA